TCACTCAGGCTAGCCAAAAAGGCCTTCATTTGCTCTGCCTCGCTCGGCTCCGCTTTCAGCGTAGTTACATCTTGATCTTCACGAATTACTGAAATATAAAATACGGTGAAAAATCAGTCAACCCTTGAAATTATGCCGAAATAGTTAAGTGGCCGAAGGCTGCTTTCAGTAGGACCTGATCACAGCCTTAATCACTACCTTGAGAGCCCCTAGTTCACCAGACGGCGAACAAGTTGCAAAATTCAATATACAATTCACAAAACTCATTAAACTAGCTAATCTTACCATTCAGAACGCTTCCTTTCAGACGCAGACCATGAGTTTCTTTCATTTCTTCAGCGAGTTGGGTACGATCCATAAATTCCTTCCGATTCATTAAATCCTCTTTTTTACTCGAAGGACCAACAGCTTCACGCTCCTTGCGCAACTCTTTGATGAGATCGGAAGGGTTATTGGCATCTGTAAATGCGACAAACTACTCGACCAAGTGACTGAGAGCAAATACATCTTTCGAAGGCCTATAGACGTATGGCAACTGAACAGGCCTATGGAAAACTTACATCCAGCGTCTTCAAAATTTCCACTCATTCCATACAGGGGACACTCATTGTCAGTGTTCAAGTGGCCCCATTTGTGGCATTTGCAACAACGCACGTTGCGTACCTACGATAAAAAAATTTCAGAAGATATTCAGGACGTACACGGAAAACTGTAAAAAATGCTCGATGAAACAGTGTAGAGTCTACAGCATCGGATATGAGTATTCGATCAATAGCCCAAGCAAGGGTTTGGTCGAGAAATTATTCATCACGTTCCATCTCTCTACATAAGAGGAGATTGAACGATAAAGTAACTATCATTGCCTGGCATGAAGCATCCGTCAGGAGCGAACGATTTTTCCGCTCTAGGCGATAATTTGCGCAACTGCCAATTTGAAGATGCCAGCCAAGCATTTACCAGAACTTGGCTTTCAATTGTGATAAGGGAAGGAAGGGAACTACCTGAATACCGAATGGCTGATCCTGGATATCCTGATTATCCTTGGCCCATTCTTCACGAGGTGCATGATACTTGCGTTGCCACTCGAATTTTGGCTCTTCCTATGAAAATA